AGTCAATCGGGTTAACCGGTCAAACCTGGGATTCGTGTCATGAAAATTTAATAATTAAACAGAAAAAATTTAATATTAAGAAACTAAATTAAAAGAATAATTACAAAAAAAAAGACAAAAAAAACTAAAGGCATTAGCTTTTTCACTGTGAATTGCACTGTGCAGTCCACAGTAAAAGACTTAAAAAGAAAAAAAAATAAAATCGTACACCACGAGTTATTTTTTTCTTGCATAAAAAATATAAAAAAATGTTAAGATCTAAGAGTATTTGTATTTCTGCAAAGATATGTTCAAGAGCTTTTGGTCTAACTACAACGTTTGACCCAAGAGTAATATTTATAACATTTATAATAATATTAAACTTACATGACTCAAGTTTAAGTGAGTCTGACTGCAACACTGGACTCAAGAGCTTTGAATGTGGGTCTGACTGTAAAGTCGTGTCATAAAAGTGTGATAATTAAATATATTAATTAAAAAAATAAAAAAACCAACAAAAATATAAAAAAACTAATGAAGAAAAAGAAAAAAAATTGAATTAACTGGGTTAACCCTTCAAATCAGGTTAACTCGTCAAACCTTAGATTCGCGTTATGAAAGTTTGATAACTAAATAGATAAAAAAAAGTTGACGGGTTAATATATAATTAACTGGGTTAACTTGTCAAGTTTGGGATACGTGTCATGAAAGTCTGATAATTAAATAAAAAGAAATTTAAAATTAACAAACTAAACTAAATGAAAAAAATTAATTAAAAAGAAAAAAAGCAAAAAAAAATAAAATTTTAGGTTAACTCATCAAATCAGGTTAACCCATTAAACTCAGGATTCATTAATAAACTAAATTAAATAAAAAAATTTATTAAAAGGAAAAAATATAAGTTTTTTGGTCTAACTACAACGTTTGACCCAAGAGTAATATTTATAACATTTATAATAATATTAAACTTACATGACTCAAGTTTAAGTGAGTCTGACTGCAACACTGGACTCAAGAGCTTTGAATGTGGGTCTGACTGTAAAGTCGTGTCATAAAAGTGTGATAATTAAATATATTAATTAAAAAAATAAAAAAACCAACAAAAATATAAAAAAACTAATGAAGAAAAAGAAAAAAAATTGAATTAACTGGGTTAACCCTTCAAATCAGGTTAACTCGTCAAACCTTAGATTCGCGTTATGAAAGTTTGATAACTAAATAGATAAAAAAAAGTTGACGGGTTAATATATAATTAACTGGGTTAACTTGTCAAGTTTGGGATACGTGTCATGAAAGTCTGATAATTAAATAAAAAGAAATTTAAAATTAACAAACTAAACTAAATGAAAAAAATTAATTAAAAAGAAAAAAAGCAAAAAAAAATAAAATTTTAGGTTAACTCATCAAATCAGGTTAACCCATTAAACTCAGGATTCATTAATAAACTAAATTAAATAAAAAAATTTATTAAAAGGAAAAAAAACAAAGAAAAAAGCAAAAAAAAACCCATAAAGGCATAAAACAAAAACAAATGAAAAAATATATATAATTATTATTATTATGATATAATAATAATAATAATTATAATATATAAGTATGATTAAAAGGCGTTGAGAAGCTGCAATGCTTTCCACACAAAGGAAAAAATTAGTGAAGAAAAAGAAAAAAATCTGAATTAACCTTTCAACGCAGTTTAATTCGTCAAACCTCAGATTCGCGTCATGAAAGCTGGTAAATAAATAGAAAAAAATTTGATGGGTTAACCTATAATTGACTGGGTTAACCTGTCAAGTTTGGAATACGTGTCATGAAAGTCTAATAATTAAATAGAAAGAAATTTAACATTAACAAATTAAACTAAATGAAAAAAATAATAAAAAAGAAAAAAGCAAAAAAAAATAAAATTCTAGGTTAACTCGTCAAGTTAAGTTAACCTGTTAAACTCGAGATTCATTAACAAACGAAATTAAACAAAAAGATTTATTAAAAGCAAAAAAAAAAAAGCCCATAAAGGCATAAAAAAACAAAAAATGAAAACAAATATATAGTATAATATAATATAATATAATATAATATGATAATTATCATTATCATTATCATTATCATTATTGTTATTGTTAAAAGGCGTGGGAAAGTTACAGTGCTTTCCCCTCGCGTTTTAGAGTATGTTGCTAGTTAAATGACCCACGCGATGACGTGTGTTAATTTTTTTGCATAAAAAGTATTAAAAAAAGCCAATATCTAAAAGTATTAAGTTTTTTTGCAAAGTTATATCCAAGAGTCTTGGATAAACTTGAAAAACCCAAGGTTAAGTGAGTCTGACTGCAATACTAAACCTAATAGTCTTGGATATGGGTCTGGTTATAAACTTGTGTCATAAAAGTATGATACTTAAATAGATTAATTAAAAAAATAAAACAAAGAAAAAAAATCAACAAGAAGAAAAAAACTGATGTAGCAAAAAAAAATCTAAATTAACTTGGATAATCCGTCACATTTGAGATCTGTGTCATGAAAATCTATTAACTAAATAGAAAAAAAATTAATACCAACAAACTAAATAAAAAAGGTCAATTAAAAAGAAAAAAAAGCATCAATCTTTTTACTGTAGATTGTATTGTGCAGTCTATAGTGAAAGATATAAAAAGAAAAAGAAAAAAAAAACTAAAAGCATCAGCCTTTTCACCGTGGACAACATAAAATGTTAAAAGATGAAATCGGAAGAACAAAGGTAACGAGAAAAAAGAAAAACAATCTAAATCAATCAGGATAACTAGTCAAACTTGGAATCCGTGTCATGAAAATCTAATAATTAAACAAAAAAATTTAATATTAAGAAAAAAAATTAAAAGAATAATTATAAAAAAAAGAAGAAAAAAAAGTAATAAAAAAGCTAACGACATCAACTTTTTTACTGTGTATTGCACTATGCCGTCCACAATAAAAATATTAAAAAGAAAAAGAAAAAAAAAACAAAGGCATACGCCATGAGTTATTTTTTTTCTTGTGTAAAAAATATCAAAAAATATTAAGATGTAAAAGTGTTATGTATTTCTGCAAAGATATATCCAAGAGCTTTTGGTCTAACTGCAACGTTTGACCCAAGAGTAATATTTATAACATTTATAATAATATTAAACTTACATGACTCAAGTTTAAGTGAGCCTGGTTACAGCACCGGATTCAAGAGCTTTGGATGTGGGTCTGGTTGCAAGGTTATGTCATGAAAATGTGATAATTAAATAGATTAATTAAAAAAATAAAAAAACCAATAGAAAGAAAAAAACTAATGAAGAAAAAGAAAAAAAATTGAATTAACTGGATTAACCCTTCAAAGGAGGTTAACCCGTCAAACCTTAGATTGACGTCATAAAAGTCTGATAATTAAATAGAAAGAAATTTAACTTTAACAAACTAAACTAAATGAAAAAAATTAATTAAAAAGAAAGAAAGAAAGAAAATAAAATTCTGGTTTAACTTGTCAAATCAGGCTAACTCGTTAAACTCGGGATTCATTAACAAACTAAATTAATCAAAAAAATTTATTAAAAGAAAAGAGCAAAGAAAAAGGTAAAAAAAACCATAAAGGCATAAAAAACCCAAAAAAATGAAAAAAAATATTATAATAAAATTATAATAATATAATTATCATTATAATAATAATAATAATAACTATTATGATATATAAGTATAATTAAAAGACGTGGGGAGGTTACAATGCTTTCCATATGAAGAAAAAAACTAATGAAAAAATCTGAATTAATTAGATTAATTTTTTAAATCATGTTAACTCATCAAATCTTAGATTTATGTCATTAAATTTTGATAAGTAAATAGAAAAAAAAATTAACGGGTTAACCAATAAGTAACTGGGTTAACCTATCAAGTTAGAGATACGTGTTATTAAAATCTGATAATTTAATAGAAAGAAATTTAACTTTAACAAACTAAACTAAATGAAAAAAATTAATTAGAAAAAGTAAAAAAATTAAATTCCGAGTTAGCTCGTTAAATTAGGTTAACCCGTCAAACTCGGAATTTATTAACAAACTAAATTAAACAAAAAATTTATGAAAAGAAAAAAGCAAAAAAAATCCCATAAAAACATAATATATATATATATATATGTATTTATATTTATATAATAGAGTATGTTATAATTATTATATATAAATATTATTAAAAGACGTGAAAAAACTATGATATTTTCTCTACGCATTTTAGAGTATATTATAATAGTAATAATAATAATGTTTGGCAATCACACATGCCTCTCTTGAAGACTGTGCCAAACAGGCAGCAATTTTTTTTTTAAAAATTATTATAATGTCTGACCAACCTACCTCCTACCCTATAATAACGAAAAAAAAAAGAAGAAGTAAAAAGACGAGCTAATCTTAGGCCAAAGGCAAGGTTCTTTTTTTGCTAATCTTAAAGGCAATAAAGTAAATTAATTGTACTTTCAAAAGGGAAAACCTGAAATTGTCTATAAGCGCCGAGTTTAGTTTTTTGTTCTGGAAAGACATTTTTGTGGTTTAAATCTTCGAAAAAAGGAAGAAGAAGATCCTCCTTCTACCATCAGGCAGCCAACTGTCTTCGGTTCGAAGCGTAACAACATAAATGCATGGCTCCAATATACAGCGCACATGACAGTGTGATCTGCACTGTTTTTACCCGTTTAATTCGTTGTGTACACTCACTCACTCACTCATAAACTTTGATTTGCAGATTGGGTGGTAGAAAAACATCGTTAGTTGTCAAGCATCTTAATTTCAACGACAATATCACATTACGATGATGCCCAAAAAACATAAATTAATACACGCATGTAGAAACATTTATATATAATTAAGAAGTGTTGGTATAGCATTTAAACACTGCTATATCTTCTTTGCTATATTTCTATAAGGATACAAATATAAATTTAATCCTTAAAAAATATATTTATTAAAAGAAACACTCACGAATCCGGAAATTAATTTCACCTTTTAAAAGAATGTGAAAATACCAGATAAAAAAAAAACACCAGCACTCCCCTCACGAGCTTCCTAGCACTTAACTGGCAAACCACGCATCATCTCACCACCTCCAAGCTCTCTTTACAAGTACATGGGCCACCCCGGCCCGACAACATTTCCCAGAAAGAACTCACGGGACGGGACAGTAGTGCTCTTCAAGCAACAGAGATTTTGATCACTTCTTGGACAACAGTAACGACATTACTGGGACATTCTAATCTGTAACGAGTAAATTATTATTATGCATGAATGAATGAATGGATGTTATCAAAGAACTAGCAAAACTCCTCTTATGCATGCGTCCAGATATTATCCCATTCAATTAACCTCAACAACAAACTCCTTGTCCTCCTCCAACCTCTCCATAGCTCCAGCTTCCAAGCTTATCTCCGCATCAATACTCCTTCCACCACTCTTCCCTCGATACAGATACACCATTCCATCGAACCTGTTATTGATTCCACTCCTCACCGTCTCTGGCCTTCCCCACCCAAAATCCACCTCGTAAACTGGAAACCTTGGCGAGCTCCCAACAGAGACACAGTTAACACCCGCATCTTTGAACTGAAATATCTTTGGTGACCTTTCAAACTGCCTGTTACGCTCTTCAATGGCTTTAGCATCGTGCATCTCAATGGCTTTTTGTATCATGGAAGCTCCAAACTCAGGTGGGTTCATCGACAGCAACCCGACAGTGGTCACCGTGTATATGGCCTGAATTAGGTTACCAAAGTAACTTTCCGGCATTGGCGGGTCGACCCTTTTGCGGCAGTCAGCAAAGACAGTGAAGACCGTGTGGTCTTCAGGCTTAAGCTGACGCGCTTGGGTTACATGGCGCCACATATGGACAGCAAGTGATTGAAAAGTAGAGAATGGTTTTGATCCGTCGGATGATGCGTTTGAGTTGACTTTTGACTTGATCTTGTCAATTGCTGATTCAGAGAATTTGAAGACTCGCTCACGGAGTGGCGGATCAACAGGCTTAGCGTCAGCAGTGCCGTTGGACGATGCATTTTGTGTGTCCTGGTCTGGCGGTGGTGGGTGTAGCTTTACTTTAGTGTTTCTCACTTTGGTGCGGTCCAGGAAAGGCAAGACAGTGACTGAAGGCAGCCCACTGCAAATCTGGGCCCATGAACTCATAAAGTGCCACGTGGAGGAACCATCAATGATGGCATGGTTGAAGGCCAATCCCATTGCTAGTCCATCTTCCAGCTTGGTTAGCTGCAAGCAATATTTAGCAGCATCCTCAGAAATTAAGTCGTTTTATTTAGCTTACACTACATAGGAATATATGTAAACATATATATCGAGACAGAGAGAGAGAGGGGATAGGGTTCTAATCGGGTTATGTGAAAACAAATTAATAGATAAATGTACACAAAGTAGTTGAAACATTAACTATGGAATCATATCTTAAAATTACTTCTTCTTAAATCAAATTTAATAGTTTTTTTTTTCAGGTCAAATTATGTATTTGAAAATTTTGAAAAAATATTTTTTCATTTTAAATTATTTTTTATAATTTTGAATGATATTAAAATTAAATTTTAAAAATTAAAAATATATTTTAATATATTTTTAAATAAAAAATATTATAACCTAAAATAATTAAATGCAATTTAAAACACGACCAAAAGGCCCAACTCAACCCTTTTGCTTAAGTTCATGTTTTGCTTGCCTCCTGCATTCTGCAGGTATCTACCAAATTAGATTAAAATATTCTTAATTAGTAGCCAAAATTAATAGAAGGCATCTACTTACATGCATGCATAAATCAATGTCTTACAAAATTGTAATTAAATGGGGTATGCTTCTGACGAAAAAAGAAATGTTACGTACCTGCACCGACAACAATGGTCTGTGGAGTCCCTCGGAGTTCAAGATCCCATTGTAAGGTATGAGCTCCTTCAACGTGGAGGTACCCAGCTCAACAGCTAGATCCTCCACACTGATCCACTCAGCATTGGCCTCCACCACCTCAACACCCTCCATATCATCGTCATATTCTACACTGAGCACCCCTTCGTCATCTCTTGCAAGTTTCCCGGCCAGTTGGTAGAAATCCTCCAAGACAGCTCCAAGCCCATCCTTCAGCTTCCCTACCATGTCCTCATACCCATTTCCCTTATAAACTAACAACTTCTGGTTGTAGTGAAACGCAATGTACGGCAGATCAAAGGTCACTAATTGACATTCCCTTCTTCCTAGTTTTTTTCTGGGCTTGACATGGGATTTTCCTGTTATTTTCAACTTAATGATCTCCTGCTCCTTATATTCTGCCTCGGGGGCCATTGCTGATTGTTGATGGTATTCAGGAGTGTGCCTAATTGAAGCTGAGAAAGAAGCTTGTACTTCAGGACCTGTAAGACAGACAGATAATCTGTGTGGTTATGGAAAGCTAAAGAGAGAGTCAAGGGATACTTATAGAAGAGATGATTCTGGTGTGGTTGGGAGTCATTAATGGATTTCATGGGAGCGGTTGTGTCCCATTAATATTTGGGATTTGATTAGACAGACTGTTAGTTAGGGAAAAACTTGATGAGATCGGTAAGATAAAGGCTCTCTCTCCTTACACATATTAATTGCCTGCTGCAAATTTAATTATGAATGCCAACATAAATCACCTCAAAATTTGTTCTCTAGCTAGTGCCCTGTACACACACCAGTCTATATGTGGCGCTGTAAGAACTTGGACCCAGCGCTTCAAGTGTTTGCACCATTCATGCATGGATGCTATGGATATAGAAGCAGCATATATAGATGGATATGCCATGAAAGTGTTCATGTCGTTCCAATAGATGCACATTTCTTTCCGTTTCGGCAAATTAGGTGGGGGATTTTACGTTGAATTTTATGATGATGACCATCGAGATCAAGTCAAGAAATTCTCACAGCACAATTTATAAGTTCACACATCCGACCCTTACTCTTTGCAAGGACCGGCCAATTATGGGACGGGAATGGGTTAGTGGATGAATAATGATTACTCCGCCGCTGGCATTTAAACATTATTTTTTAATTTATTTTAAATAATAATAATAATAGAATTTAAATTCACGAGTACATATTAATAAATAAAAGCTCGTTACATGCTGAGACAACCTGAAGATCTAAGATTTAAAGGGAGGATACAAGACTAATTTCATCAAAGAACGAACGTGAGAATCAAATCAATTTAAAGCCTTAAATAATTTCAATGACATAATTGAAGAGGTTCCATCGATGCAGGTAGAAGAAAACCCACATCGAGCGAGCTCCAACCTGCGCATACGGAGATTAATTATTTAAGGCAATGACTTTAATTCCAAGCAATAAATGATTCACCTAAGAAAGAAAGAAAGTTGCGAGGAAGGGCTTCCATTCCAGCTTGATGCTGCCACTTCTATAAACACACTGTCATGTACATGACAGCTGCATGCATGTGACCATTTATCACGGCATCAGTACCGTCCGTCAACGTGTGGAGCCCGGGAGAATTGACTGCATCCAAAATCTCTTTTCCAAGGCTTCGCTGCCAAAGCTCTAACATCCATTCATCTCGTTGAATCGCCTCACCACTCCTTCACCGGTAACACCACGCCACCAATTACCCTCTCCGTCTCCTCTCTCAGGTTTCATCTTCCAATTTCTTCTCCTTTCCTTTTTTTTTTTCTTAAAAAAAACAAATCCATCTTTCAAGTTTCTTCTCTTTGTTTCCTATATCGTAGCGCGCACAAACAAAAACTGTTTCATTTCTAATTCAACATTTTACCTCTGATTAGATTAGATTAATATATTAATTAAGTTCGTAAATAGACCTACATAAACACGCGGGCTTTGTGATTTGCTTGTTCTATTTTTCTTTGGGAATAGAAACTATTGTGGCTTTATTTCAATAGAAAGTCTTTTCTATATATCTATACATAAATAAACACCTAAAAAATATTATAAGAAAATAAATAACTTATAACATTAAATAAGTCGAAAAAGGTCAAAAAAAAAAAACTTGGATTGATAAAACTTCTCAATTATAGGTAAGTAAAAAACCAAAATTTTTTTAATAAAACTTCTATTATCGAATGAAATCTTTTAATATCAAGATTGATCTTTTTTCATTGTTGAAATTATTGTTAGCTAGCCATTTTCTTTTCGTCACCATTCTTAATCGAGTTTCTCTTACTCTCTTTAACCAAGAGACTGAAAATAAAAAGAATGAATTTTTGAATCACAATAATAATTATCATTAATATAAGTTAGTTATATATTTTCTTTGTATTTCATATTTTAGTCTCATATCTTTAAATTTTATATCTTTAACCATATCTTAAAGCGTAATTTTTTCTATTTAAGCTATAAAAGGGCATGAATGAAGAAATAAAATTAATTCTGGAGGGTATTCAAAATAAACGCAGCACAAAAAGTTTATTGCTTTATCATCACTCAATGTTGGAGGCTCAAACAACTTGCAACCTTTGTGGTATATGTATTAAAAACACTGACTATCTTTTTATTCATTGTGATTTTGCCTGGGATATTTGGATGAAATTCTATCTTGGTGGGGGAATTAGTGGATGTTTTCCTAGGTGTTTTGATGACAAGTTATATTAATGGTCTGCGCACTGGTTACCAAAAATTTTAAAAAAAAATTTAAAAGCTTTTATCCTTTTACACAATCTATAATATATGGCTAGATCGAAATAATAATGTCTTTCAAGAGGATACTACATATCTTGATTCTTTATTGTTCTCTTAATGACTAAAGTCTTATAATTATCAGTTAGTATATTCATGATTTAATTTTCTAATCAATGCAAATGATATTAATTTTGGACAAACCAACATATATAAGATTTACTAATATTTTTATCTGATTTGTCTATTTTTCTTTTTCATTTCTCAATGTAAGTTTTCTTATTTTTTTTAATGCTTACTGCATAAATAACCATGTTTTTAATAAAAATCGATCACTATATTAAAAAAAAAAAAGATGCTGTTGGATCTTCACACGGCTGGCTTATATTTATGGAAAAGAATTATGGAACTACTTTTTTCAACCTCTTCAATGCAGGTTTCATTCGTCTCTCTCCTGTCAGTAGAACTCATCTTCATTCAGGGATTGAGATTGACATCAAGTGTCCACTTCCTTATGTGCGGATGAGCACGAGTTGGTTGTAGCAATCCTCGGTGATTATTATTGGTTGTCCTATTTCAAGTCCGGTCATAAATCGTGGAAGCATGCATGTACAAGGGAGAGGTCTACCCCTCTCAGATGTTATTTACTACAAATGTGTGATATACGCTGGGAGTAACAGGAGCCAAGTCGTGTCCCTTGATACTTCAGCATCGAACCCGAAACTAAAGATGGTTACACTCGAGATGATCACGTGCGTGGGCGAGGAATACGTATCTTGTAGAGTCATTGAAGGGAGAGTAGCTATTTGTTAATTAAGAGGATTTTGAAAAAGAAAGACGACGAGTTTCAGGATGTTACCTCAAAGTTTGAGGTCTTTAAACTTACTGCACCAGATTCTTTAAACAACAGTCATCAACAAAGATCGTTGAGATAGGGAGCTTATAAGTTGATGATGCAATATTCTTGTGCGACAACTATTCCATGTCGTTTTCGGCTTTAGACTTCCCTGGATGCCTACCAAACTCTACTTACTTCACTGATGATTACATTCTCCTTTGGCGTTGTGAACCTTTTGGACCTCGTGACATTGGCGTTTTCAACATGGAGGATGGAAGTATTCGATTACATTACACTCCAGACATTGCCCACAAGGACTTGCCGCCACCGTGCCAACACCAAACATTCAACACCTATAATCTATTTGTCATGTAATGATATTTGGTTGCGGCAATTTTTTCCCCTATTAATCAACCCGATCATATACTTTGTTTTTTTTTCCCTTATGAACTTGTTGTAAATTGATCAAACTGCGTTGTATATTGTCAGTTGGTCATGAAAATTTTATTGATGGGAGTAGAATTACACAAGGTAGAGTGTTTAGAACATTATGGTAGGTGCAATAAATATTGAGTGTTTGCAGCGGATGATTAATAGGAAAAGTCAGGCGGCCAAGCAGCCGTCTTGCAGGGTGCTAGGAGACAATTGGAGATACTCCTGTAAAGACCGCAACTCATCTGTTTTCAATTTTTGAATATTATATGATATAATTCTATTTTTTTCAACTTCTGTTTGCTTAAGATAAGCACAACAATTATCCTGTTGTGAATTCTCTTTATATATATACATCAGTAATGGAATCATCCCTTTAATTAAGCATGTAAACCGTTCTTTCTTTATTGCTTGAAACATGGTATTAGAGCCATCTATGGCTTCCTCTCATGCTGCCAGATCAACTAGCTTCATATTTCTCAACCCCTCCCCTCCAGAACTTACTAATTAACAAGACAACGTCTGTGCTAGTTGGAGCCAAATCCAGCATATGCCGAGTGGTTTTAGAAGGATCAAAAGCTGCTGTCATGGCTTCTGGCTTCTACCCCTGTGGAGGCTTTTACGTACGCTGTGGAATTCAAGAACTCTTATGAGTTATGGCAGATCCTTGAAAGATCTTTTGGTTATGTTTCTGAAAATAGACTGTTGCAACTTCATATTCAGCTACAAGAATTAACCACTGATAATGAGTCTGTGGCGGACTATCGGTCCAAGGAAAACAGGTTTCCCTTTTTGATCTCCACGGACAATCACTGGCTCATGAAATTCTTCTCAACAGTTAAAAACACAAGAAACCTTCTGCTAGTATGATTCAGAAATCCAACTCTTCTAGTTCCCCCCCATCTCAGCAGTCCTCTAATGCTTGTAGTTGCTCTTTTATGAACTATTCTGCAGGCAGCAATTATTCTGATGGTTCCAATAACCGCAGCTCCGTGTAAGAGACGCTATGAATTTCGGCGTCCCAACAGCTCTTATAAGAGCACATCTTTCAATTCTGCACCACTGTCTCCTAATACAGGGGAAGGAGCAAATGGGTGAAAACATGCATTTAAAATTGAAGGATGACACCCTCGTTTTTGAAGATGATCACATGCAACCGAACCAGTCTAAAAGGTGGTTGGAGGTGTTTTTTACATAGATATCCAATCAACTGTTGTGCATGCATGTGAAGTGATGTGGAAACACATGCTGCATCATAAGGAATGAGTTCTGGTTTTGAAATAATATTTTCCTGGAATCTTATGTCATCATTAATAAAAATTCCATGTCAAGGCATTTTCTTAAATTATGTGATCATGGTTGTGAAGCAGGGATTAATTTTCTTATTTGATGTACCGATTAAAGCATGATTTATAAGCACTGTATGAGGTTGTTTTGACGAAGTTGGCTAAATAGAGTAATACAACGCTCTAAATTTCAATGTGATCAAGTGTTGATATCCACATAGTAATAGTTTGAAGATTGAAAACCGCAAAATATGAACAAATTCAGGTGCAGAATCCAGAGGGTTTAATAGCTCTTATGTCTACACACATAATAGCTTGCGATATTGTCACTGCTATATATGCTTTAGTGTGAAGCTATGAGAATCAAAATGAAGCATAGGAGAGCTTTTGCATGTGATATACATTTGAAGCTCAATAGAACTGTTGAGTGGCCAGAATGAGAGAAGTAGATGCTGATATTGTCAAATCTGGTAGGTGGGCTGTGATTCTCTCCCGAGCGTGAAAGGGTGGCTACACAACGATGCCCTCTGCATTAAAAAACAGCATAATATTATCAGACGAATAGTAGTATTGCATGGATCAATGCAAATCAAATGTCTAATTTTGACTGAAGAACCATTGCAGCTTTTGATGAGCTTTTCGGTTGCTTGAACTGCTCTCTTCCTCTTTTTCATGGGAGTAATAATTAAGCGGTAAACTATCAGATATGCTATATATCTAATTGCATGTAGTGAGTTTACGATCACATCTTACTGTAAACTTAATTAGGTAGCCGCCCAAGTGCCTTGACAATGAATAAAAATATTAATAATCAAGGTTTATAGGGATTGCATTGAATTTTATTGACAAAATCTTAAGATTGATCATATTGATATATACTATAAGGGCCTTGATATATACGCTCGGTACGTAGCCGTTTATTAATCTTCTTGGCTGCATGCGTCTCCCAGCTTTGATCGATCATATATATATATATATATATAACAATAATCGATGGTATATATGCATGTCGTTAATTTCCCCTTGAAAATAAAGTTATAATGAAACTGCTGGGACCATATTATACAATAGTAATCTACGATGCTTTCTGTCTTTTTTCTTTTTTTATTTCTTGTTTTGTCCTGATTTTTTTTTGTTTTTTTTTTCTTTCCAAAACCACTTTCCTTTTTTTCAACTTTCCTTTGTTTTCTCTTTTTTCTTATTTATTTTTTTTCAAAATTTTTTTTATTGATTTTACTTTTAAAATATTAAGCTAATTAAAAATTTTATTTTATAGCTTTTTTTTTCTTTAAAATACTATAGATTTTTGCAATGTTTTTTCACATAGTTTTTTTATTTTATTTTTTTCTTACAAAATTATATTTGTTAATTTTTTTAATGTTTTAGTTTTGTAATTTTTTTCTTTAAAATATTGTTGATTGTTATAATGTTTCTCCGAATGATTTTTTTTATGATTTTCTTTAAAACTTTTTTATTTTATTTTTTAATATTAAACTGGTTAAAAATTACAATTACAATATATGACAAAAACACTATGACTTTTCTCATAAATTATTATAGATTGCTGCAGTGTTTTTTTTGCACATAGTTTATTCTATTTTGTTATATTTTTTTCTAAAATTATCATTATTAATTTTATTTTTTAAATATTAAGTTGGTTAAGAATTGCAATTACAAGTAAATACAAGTTTTTCCTAACAAAATATTATGGACTGATACAGTTTTTTCTCACATGTTTTTTTTCTGATTTTTTTTGTGTTTTTATTTTTTGTAATATTTTTTTAAGTTTTCTTTATTGATTTTTTTTATTATTTAGTTGGTTATCATTTAAATTTATAATAAAGTTTAATCATGTGGGGAAAGCACAATAGTTTTCCTTACAAAATATTGTGGATTGCTACAATGTCTCTCCACATGTTTTTTTTTATAATTTTTTTAAAATTATCTTTGTCAATTTTATTTTTTTAATATTGAGCTGTTTGATAATTACAATTACAAATTATTATAAATAAGGCTAAATCATGCGAGCAAGCACTGTAGCTTTTATCACAAAACATTGTGAATTACTACAATGTTTCTAACATGAATTTTTTTCTTTTTTTATGTTTTTTTTATTTTTTTCTTTAAAATATTGTGAATTGTTGCAGTGTTTTTCCATATAATTTTTTCATGATTTTTTTCAAAATTATCCTTATCAATTTTTTTTTAATATTGAATTATGTTTTTTTTATTTTTTTCTTTAAAATATTGTGAATTGTTGCAGTGTTTTTCCATATAATTTTTTCATGATTTTTTTCAAAATTATCCTTATCAATTTTTTTTTAATATTGAATTAGTTAATAATTATAATAAAGCTAAATTACATGAAGAAAGCGTTGTAGTTTTTCTCACAAAACACTATGGATTGTTACAATATTTCATTAAATGTTTTTTTATTTTATTTTATTGGGGAAAGCACTATAGTTTTCCTCACAAAACATTGTCAATTGCTACAACGTTTTTTCTCATGGGTTTTTTCCACTTCAAAATTATCTTTGTTTGTTTTTTTTAATATTAAATTGTTAGAGAATTTAGCTTTGTAATTTTTTTTATTAACAAAAAAGTTAAATCATGTGGTGAAAGCACTATATTTTTCCTCAAAAAATATTGTGAATTGATACAAATCATTTTATTCATTCTCTAAATTTTTTATCATCAGCATAATTTTTTTTTTTTTGTTATGAAATATTTGCTCCATCATATTTTTAGTTTCTATTAATTATATAACGCTGATTCACAATTATAACACTATCAAGTATATTTATTTTATAAACCTGCGGCAATGCACGGGTATATCATCTCGTGTTATTCTAATGGATGACTATATTCTATTATTTTATGACATAGAATATATATATATATATAACGACTTAATTTGTTGTGTTTCGATGAATATATGCTCTTCCTTCATGATGTTAACGAGAGGATGCAAAAAACACATCGATCCTTCGTCATTAGGTTAAATTATGTATATCTTCTCACATAGATCGATCCAAAGCTGTACGTGTTCTGTTTTCAATCTCTTCGTGACTATATATACCCAACAAACACCATCTTTTTTATCCTTAGGGTTTAGTTTGTTTAAGCATATCCAGAAGCATTATTCTCTCCTTTTTACTGTGGCCATAGAACAAGATTAACTTATAAGCAACCTTTATATATATATATATATATATATTCACATCCTCGCACCAATTGAATGCTTCTGCTATAATTATTCATTATAATAATAATAAAAAAGAGAGTAAAGATTCGATTACACTAGGCGTTCAAGATAGAGGACTTGTTTAATTTTAGATTTAATTATTGGAATATAAAAAAGACAGACGTGTGAGATGATATGTTCCCCTGCTGACATTTCTAGATTGTAAAAGAAACAGCAACTGATAAAGGGTCCATCTGTCATGCTCACGTGGACCCCTTCTAGCAAAGTTTAGAGATCAGAAATCATCATCCTTTGCCGTTCATCACCAGCCACCGGCATCATCATCGTAGGCAAGATCATCCTCGACTTTCTCTGCCACGTCATCAGCAATATGGTCTTCCAAAGCATCAATGCCCTCAGCCAATGCCAGTCCACCTAAGACCCCGCCCACCGCACCCACGGCCAATCCTGTCCCCATCCCTCCAAACTTACTTTTCTTCTTCTCCTCCACAACCACAGGTTGCTGCTCTCCATACCCGTAACCCCCATAACCGTAACTCGGCTGCCCGTATGTCGGAGGTGGGGGCGCGCTGTACTGATACCCAGTTGGCGGAGCTGCTGTTGAATAGTACGGATTTGGCTGCGGTGGTGGGGCACCATAGGGTGTCGCGTAAGGGTAGTGATCTCTCGAAGATGACGGAGGAGGAACCCCGTAAGGAGGTTCAGGGTAAGCATCAGGAGCACGATAGCGAGGGTCTCTAATGGTGACCTTAACGTCGAGTTTCCCCTGTGGTCTGCCGGAAGGACGCTTGAGCTGGAGAGCGCGGGTTGCTCGTTCTCCGATGTCGACGTCGTCGAGAACGTCAATGAGCTTGAGCTTTGCGGAGCCGATGAGGGGCTTGGTGCCTTCCTCGGAGCCGGCGTGGACGATGTCGATGTGGAGGGTGTGGTCTTCGATGCGACCAGATGGTAAGGGGATGACCAGAGTTTGGTCCCAAAAAGGAGAGGTGTCGCCTTCGTCGTCAACTCGAGTGGAGCATTTGTAGTTGGAGTCAACCCACACGACAGCGTATGGCTTCAAAGAGCCATGGCGCCAGTTAACGTTTTTAAGGTCTTTGGCAGAAGAGATGGTGACTTCAACCTCGTATCGAGAAGGCATGATTTGGTCTTTGGAGCCTGGAATATTTTTTGCACGCGGCTAGCAGCGTGGCGGGGATGTATTTATATATAGGTTTCAGTACTCGGACTTTGGACCTGCAGTCGGGGTATGGAGATAATTAATGGTCTAGAATGCCCTTTTGATTTGTTTGCGTTTGCCCGTATCCATTGAGCACCAGTGTGGTAATTTTGTATGGTAGGTGAAGGTGATTCCTTTAATGGCGGTAACGGCTAAGAATGTTATTTTAGGCGAAAGATGAGGGTTTCTGGGACAGGTACTTTTCTCTTTCCTTTTGATTCTTCCGTGTATAGAAGAAGGCATGATAATAGCATCTATATATGCTATTTTGAAGTGTCAAGATATTAATATGATGTTTTAAATATAGTATTTCGAAGTAAAATTAAAGGCCATTTGAAGAAATTAGTACTTTAGTTTGTCTCCACGGAGTTTTGAAGTTATTTTCTTGTCAGTCTGTCTTACATATATAGAAATATATAGCTTTTGTAATGGGAAAGAATTAAGAAGCATCTTCACTATCGTACATCTTACCGTTCCCGCTGGAGCTACCAACTAAGAAGAGAAGGCTAGAAGATGGGTTTTTAGCTGAGCTTCCTTTTCACCTCCCGCGTTTGGAGATGCTTAAAGTTGGATGGATGTTCTTTAACCAAAATCCGGGACAAGGCAAGGCATAAATGCGATAGGAATTAATTGGGATGCAAAAGGCAGAGAGAAGAGTATAATTCATAGATGATTCTTCTAGGCTTGCACGCGGTGAGCTAGACCGGCCATGGCTCCTTGGGCCAGAAACACAATTGTCATAATCAAATATTCCTTTTTGTCTTCTCCTTCTTTATACGCGGCCCGGCCCAAGTGCTTAAAATACACTATGATCTGATTTTTTTTTTTTGTTATTTAAAATTCAGATCTTTGAATTTTGATTGGTGCTTTTTAGTTATTGTTATTTTCTATTAAAATTTTGTTTACTTTTAATTTTACCCTGTTTCTTAAAATGTATATATAAGGTGTTTTAATCCGGTTCTTTTACTTTTAATTTCTTTATTTTTTCTTTATTTTTTTATTAAAGTTTTTATAGCTTGTAATTTGATTATTTAAATTAAATTTATAATTTTTTTCAATGATAATAATGATTTCAATTTATTCCCTTTTAGTTCTTTTGTTTTTTTTTTCTTGATTTTTTAATCAAAGTTTTTATAATTTACAGTTCTATCCTCTTAATCCTGAGTTCATAGTTTTTATTTTTTCAATAATAATAATAGTAATAACAATAATAATTGCAATAATAATCATTATAATTTGATGATGATGATGATTAAAATTGTAATGTTAGTTATTATTGTTATTATTATAAAAAATATGATGAAAATAATAATATTATCAATAATGATAACAACAATAAAATTAATTAAATTAGTAATGATAGTAATAATCGTAAAAATATTAATAATGATAATTTGGCAATAATAATAGTTAAAAAATAAACAGTATTGTTATAGTGTTGTGGTAACAACAATACTATTGTTGTTGTTATTGCTACTACTATTATAAATAATAATAATAGCAATGACATAAGAGAGAATAAGATGGGAAGAAGAATAATAATGATAATAAAAATCCTAGTAATAATTGTTGTGATGATAATGATAACAATAATACAAATATCGCATGTGTGTGACGATCGTCCATCATTCAGGAAAAGTGTAAATGTCTATCTAGAAAAAATATGGTAAGATAAAAAAATTCTTTGTTTTTTCTATAGAAACAATGAATAGAAGTCGCTACCTAGTATTTTATGAATCAAGAACCCTAACTAGTTTCAGAGATAAGGTATAAAGATTGGTTACGTAAAGAAAAGATATTAACACCCAAAATATATCCTATCTAAAGTAAGCTGTATTGTTATATTGTCTGATAAAACTTAAGGTTTTGGTTGTGTTTTCTAATTATTGGTGTGTTTAAAGAGTCAAGAAAAGCCCTTCTCACTAAAAAGATTCCTACGTTAACGGTGTAAAACCTAATCGTTGTAGCGTTTGAAAAAAATAATTTAATATTTGGAATACGTATTATGTATAATGTCGTACTCTACATACAAAAAGACAAACCAAATAAAATTTTTGTTGTTTTTGAAATTTTGGTCAAAATTCTCTTAATTTTAATAAATTAGTTATTAAAGCCAAAATACATACAAAAACATTGTTTTTTGGTGTATGCAAAAAAACACAATATGATTTTTTAGTTTTGAAACACTGAGTCGTATGTACAAAAATATTTTTTTCTTTTTTTAATTTTTTTAAGTTGAAGAAAATTAGGTATTTTTGTACTGGATTTTTGTAGTTTTACAATATAAAATACAAACCAATATTAACAAAATAGTGTAAAACAAAATGTGTGGACATCGAAAAATTTTAAACATATATATATTTTTTTTAGCTTAGACCCAGCCCACCATTGTTAGGCTGGAACGAACTCGGCCTAAGATTATAAGCCTATCCCACATCAGTTGGTTACCGTGCATAAGCATAATAACCAGCTCTGTCTCGTCTATAGAGGTGCGCACCGTGCATGTCTTGCATGGCGAGGGAAGAAATAAAAGCAAAAGAAAAGGGGGTGGGGGGTTTACCTGGAGAAGCCTCAGTTGTCAGTGACAACAAGCAGTAGCGGCGGTTCTAGGTGATAGTTTGTCTTCCTCCTTTCTCTGTGTTTGTCTTGTTTTTCCTCTGTTTTTCTCTTTTTTATTTTTTTTCTTTTGGTCTTTAGACCATTCTCCCTTTTCTTCTTTTCTTTCAGTCTTCCCTCTCTCTTGTGCTCACTCGTATTTCTCCTCGTGTCCCTTGTATTTACAGGTAACAAACAAGGAAGAGAGAGACCAAAACGACCATTGTGCTGCCTCCTCTCCACCGTCCAAGACATATCTCTTCCTTTTTCCTCGACACGTGAAAAGCTTTGGGCAAGTGGGGGTCCTTGGCCGGCCTCTTTTGATGCCTTTTAAAGTAAGAAAATCGATGAAAATAAGGGAAGAAAAAATGTTCTTCTTCCTCTGCCTCGCACTTATAGGGAAAGAAGAAGACCCATAATATCATTCAAAAAGACATCATTTGGGTTTTCTCTTTTTGTTTTTTATGAACAGTGTATGAAACGACGCCGTTTTAAACAAAACACGTTGTTCCATTTAAAAGAAAAAAGACAACAAAAACGTGTCAAAGTTCAAATTAGTTTCCAATTTATGATTTGTTCAATCAACTCCTCGATTTTAATTTTGATTTTAAAAATTAATTTAATTGCTTCCTTGTCAAATTCAATTGTCGCCCCTGAAGTTGGTCGTCTCTTTTTAAATTGATCTTTGGTCTTTAATTTATGCAATTTGACCCTCAATTGATGAATAAACTTTCAAAATTTTCATTGGTTTAATTACATCTCCTCTATTTACGCGCTTTTTTCAGTTTGGTTATTGGTTTCAAATTTCTTCAATTAAATCCCTACTTGACCATCAAGTTTCACTATTTATACTATTAAGCCCCTGATTTGACCAAATTAACTCCAAAAAATTATAATTTCACCTCAAAACTTTAATTTCTTCTAATTAAAGCCCAAAATAACTCCAAAATCAACTTTTCTTGCAATCAAACCCTCCATAAATTCAATTAAACCTTCAATAACATTTAACTGAGTTCATGAATATCTAATTTTGTATTTGTCTTTCTCAATTTGAATTTTCTTTTTCAATAGTCCTCTTATTAGTTAACAAAATACTGTTAAATTTTAATTTTTATATTTCTAAACCTCTTCAATCAATTTTTAGTTTATTTTTTAAGTGTTTTAGCATCTTTTTTTCACTATTGCATTTTTTTGATAGTATTTTTTATTTTTTATATTTTTTTAAAAAGAAAAAAATATAAATTAGAAAATAACCTAAAAATATGTTATGACAACCAATAGCAACAATAACAATAATAATGATAATGATTATGGTTTTGATTGTTAAAATAGTAATAATATTAATAGGAATGTTGCTATTATTATTAATAATGATAATATTAGCAATAATTGTGGTAATGATAACAATAACAACAATAATTTTAATAATAATATAAATAATTACAATGTTCATAATGATAATAATAATAATGATGGTATTACTTATTAATCATAGTAGTTACAGTGATCTTGAATCTCATTTTTTAAAATCCATTAATCATAGTAGTTATAGTGATCTTGAATCTCATTTTTTAAAATCCTTTGGTATGATTAATTTTTTTTAATTCATCCTTTAATATTTATTTATTTTTGAAATTGAACCTTGTGATTTTTCTAGAATGGATGCTTCAAGTTTAATGACTTAGTTCACGGGTTTAAAATGTTAAAATATTTATAAAAAAAGCTTTTGTAATTATTTTTATCTTTAACCAGGTTATTCCAGTTGCATAATTTAAATTGTGGGTTTGATGAGATGTCCGGTGTTGACTTAGCTCTAATTAACATTTTTATATATTTTCTATAAATGGTTTTTTATATCTTTATTTGCTTATTTTCGGTACATGAACATTATTTTTTGTTCAAAAAATTATCTAGCCCCATAATGAAGCGCATATATGAAGGCTAATCCACATTAAACAATATTTATCTACAAGAACTTACTTAAGAAAGGAAATGAGTATTGCATGCATACTATATTATAAAATTATAAGATAGATACTATAATTTAAAATGTTGAACTTGCTAGGTTGAGGGGTTAAGACTAATGGAGTTGAGAGCCAGATGCCTTTGTTATTCAAAAATATCAAATTAAACACCTAATGTGATGGGTGATATATATCTACATTTAGGTAGGTAGCATCATGACAAGTTCGGTTTAAAGTAAATAGAGATTATAAATAAAACAATAAATAGAACTTTTTAAAATATTAAAAAACCACATGTAATTTTTTATGTATATTTAGCAACCGAAGCCTTAAAAAATTTTCATTATGTATTTAGGATCTTTTATTAAGTAAGAGCAATCTACAAGTATAATTAATAAATACATCTTATTTATTTTTAGGCCTTTTCTCAAATGAGAATCTAAATGACTTTTCACTTAAGTTAGCTATGATCGTAAGCTAAACTAGGTAAACAGCTCCGAACATAAAAAAGGTATTAGTTTGCACATCCGTGGTAAATGACCATCAATGGCTTTGTTATAAATAAAAATTTATAGTGAAAAAACATTTGACGATCTTATTGGATGTAAATTAACTAACATTTTTGCTTTAATTGATTACATAAAAACACAATCTAAACAAATAATTGAAATTCATACAAAATCA